ATTAATGTTACTACATTAACGCATTAGTACAAGCTGTTATCTTTTTAGCTTAAGTAGTTCTGTGTGTAAAAAGGAGCAATCTGCGCAGGCTGAAACGTTTAATAATGGTAATGAAAAGGTGTAGACAACGCATCCATCTCCAAACACGCATGTATTCATGAGAGAGATACAAAGAGACAAACAAGTGAAAGAAAAGTGAATTGCCTTGTTTTAACTAAGGAAGTTGTAAAGTAGCGCATCCGATATGTCAAATGACACTTGCATTAGTTTCTTAGTTGTGGCTTAGTGTGCGCTGACCTGGAGTTTTGAGTCGTTGCTGGTTCTTCCACATTGTGATTGGTTGATCAGCGTTCCAGTGAAGTTTTGTTGAAATTGTGTAGTATAGAGAGTTGGCTTGCTGAAAGTTTGTGAAAAATGAGAATGCTCAAGCTTGGGTGAGGCCTAAGGCGACCCAGCGAAGAGAGGAGCGTGACCTAGGTATGAAGCCTTTTCTTTAACAAACAGCATGAGCACATACACGTAGAAAACATAGTAGAATGTTGACATTTGTAAAAATGTCTGCTTCTGTTGACGTACAAGTGTGAAAGGCTTTGTGGCTTGCCTATCAAGATGCTTACTTTGGTAATTGTAAGTTGGGTGTAAATGCCTTCCAATTGTCTTTTCAAGCATTTTTAGCCAAAGTCATACAAATGGAGGTTTTTCAGACTATAGTTGAGTCTTTTAAAAGCAAAGGATCACAATTTGTGGAAGCATTCCGATAGACAATTAAACGAAATGACCATGTGTTTGCTAGGTTTAAGCAAATGAAAGTTAGCAGGTAAACGAGCATATTCGCGTTAAGGCTTTTACACTTATCCCATTTAGTCAGAGAAATGTCAGAGAGAATGGAGTCTGTGTTTGCCAGCGGCAGAATAAGCACTTGTACAGTAGAGAAGCTTGACACGGATAGCAAGACCTGTCACCGATCTGCTTGCTTTATTTCTCTTCAGCACGTGTATTGCAGTGATGGGAATGGCAAACATTAATTGGTAAAACGCAGCACTTTGAATTGATTTGTATTGCTTAGCGTAATTGTGGTTCGTACAGTTGATTGAAGCCATTTGAATGTGTAGAGTAGGTTTGTTTGAGGAAGAACTCCAGATTTGTTGGACAAACCGTTCCTTGAGTACGAGTCTGTGATCTTGCACCTCTTCCCCCCCTCATGTTTGTAGTGCGCTTGATAAATAGTGGCACGTTTGAGGTTTTGTCTAGAGGGTAAACGTTTGACTTTGGGAGAAATGGCTTTTTCCAGACAGCGGCCGTGGAGAAATGAACCTTGAGTGGCATTGCACTATATAACGCAGTTGCTCACAGCAGCTCATAAAGTTTGTCTTTGTAAGTGGTTGGAAAGCACTTGCTGAATGAGTGATGCGCAAGTTGTGGACCAATGATTTTAGCCAAATAAAAATGTAATAATTGTAAGTGGCTATTTACTTACGGAGCATAAAGTATTGCATAGTATTACTTGGCAAGAGTTTTGAAGTAAATGAACTCGGCTGCAATAGAAGTTACTGTAGCCTAAATGTTGAACTGCTATAAACAGCTGATAAAATGTTGATTAGAGTTATTCGTATTTTATAAGATGAAAGTGTTGTTAGATGTGGGGTTCCCAAACTTGTAAGTTAGAGTCTGAGCTGGCATCAGACACAATACTATACGAGTGTATGTTGATCTTGCTGATACATAGTGGCAGGAGTTTAGATTAGAGTCTGGTTTAAGTGGCTGTGGCGGCCAGTTGATTGGGTGAGTGAGGGTTGTTACAGATGAACAGTTAGCAAGAATTGCCTGTGTGCTAGTAGAATATGATCTTCTTTTTTGTGTTGGAAATTGAGTGAAATGGGTTTTTTTTTTTTTTTTGTTTTTTTTGTGGTTGCAATCGATACATGCATTTAGCTCAGGGCAGGCAGACTACAGTGGCAGGACTTGGTCTTGACTGGTGGCAGATGAGCTGTCCAAGTGTGTTGACGCAGGAGAGATGCTGTGGAGGAATGACAGCATGGTGTACGGCACAAGTCGCAGCAGTGGAGGATTCCTTCATACACAATGAAAGAATGAGGTAGTATGAGGACAAACCGTAGAAAAGAGAAACATTAGGAGTGAAAGAAAAGGGATTGTATCTGCATGAATGTTTGAGCCTTCGGGTGTGGGATGAATAATTGAATGTGAGGTGTGAGGTGGGTTTCCGTCTCCCGGTTTTGTCCCTGGCTGCATTGTGGGTAGCTATAAGGTGGTGTTATATAACGGGGCTTGCACAAGTGCTTTTTAGTGAAGGCCAGAGAAGCGTGACAAAAAGGGAAATGTCAGGCTATTTTATTTTTGACTTTGAGTGTCTAAAATAGATGCTGGGCCACGCACTGGCATACAGGCTGGTGTGCAGTAATGCAAATAGTTTGGAGTAGTACATTAGTTTGTAATGAGCGAAGGCATTTATTGAAGTGTTTTTCTGAAATATGAAAATGAGGTGGAGGAGGAGGCATGTCTGCTGTACCAGTGGAAACAGTATGTCAATTGAAGAAGCGAGCGGTGAATGATGTGTGCGTTTTCTAGAGGGTGGGGGTAGATTTAGGTCTATGCTGATTTTTGATAAGTGATAAAATGAAAATGTGGATTTTGTGGCAAGCAATGTGATGTTTGTCCTTAGTATGTTGGAAAAGTAGCTGAAGTGTCCAAGTTGTTGAATGGGAAATTCCAGCTGCAGTGAAGTGAAGAGGGAGTGAAATGCTGCTAGACTTTGGGGTTGTTGTATATTTGTAAATGTGAGCGCAAAGCCTTGGACAGTCCAAGTGTTCCCCCTGGGTTGCAATAATGTGGTATATTAATGAATGAATGTTTGTTTTTCTTTTGAAATGACTTGAGTTGTTTTTGTGTTGTTTGTAGTGTAAATGTGAGAGTTGTTCAATCAAGAAGCATTTTGTAGATGAGGAAAAATTGTTGTGTTGTTTTAAGAAATAATAAGGCAATATTAAGTGAGGTTTCCCTAAAACAAGTAATTGTTATCCTAACAAAAAAGTGAAAATGCTTGATGTAAGAAATTGTAGATATTTGGAGTGGAAAAAAGAACAAGTTAGTAAGGAAGAAAAGGGATTTTTGCAGTAGGCAAAAGAAGCGTGTCCTTTTGTCCAACTATAGTGGTATTGTTGAAGGCCCTGCACTGTGTTGGTGATGTGTAACCCAGAATACATGAGGGATGTTACTTGGGTGAAGCAGTAGCAAGAGGTTGACTGCAGGCACTTCCTTCACGCCTGTAGGCCTGTCAGTCATGACTTGTGGGGTGGTGGGGGTCGGTGGGTGACTGCTGACATGTGTTTGTATGGAAATGGCAGGACTCTGGAGATGATTTGGTTGAGTGGTGTCAATCCTGAAATAGTGCTTTGCTTGTGTTTCTTGTAGGAGAGTAGACTGTGTGTAGCAGCCAAATGAGGTAGTGTGGTGTAAGATAGAGGTGTAAAGTAAGAGCAGGAGTTAAGCTCTGATGTGGTGAATAATTGAAGCAGGTATTAATGGTAAAGTGTAGCGGAGATGTTGTGACGCTGTTTTGGATGATGTTAGGACGTGTGTAAATGATGAAAGTAGAGTACGGGCAGAAGAGAATGGGGCAACTTCATCAATAAGACAAGACGGGGAATAAAGCAGAAAAGAAATGGCAGACGCGTCGCAAATGAGCAGGCTTGATGGAACGGTCTATTGTAGATGTGGAATTGGACTTTACAGGTTGAGTCATTTGTAAACGGTGAACAATGGATAAAGTGTAATAAGTGGCTGGCTGCTCTTAGCATGAAATATATTTTGCTGCAATGTGGAAGGTTGAATAGCATTGGAGCAAATGTAGATGAGCCAGGAAGAATGTGAAGTTGTGAATGACTGGTGAAATGTAAATGGTTTGATTTGATGTAGCGGTATTGATTGTATTTGAGTGTGTAATGGGTTTTATTTGAATAGGAATTATTTCGATCATGCAATATTTGCATGCATGTTAAGTTTGGCATGGGATGGTGATAAGATGTGTAAGGATTGTGCTTAACATTGAAAATGGCCATGCAGAGGACAGGAGATGGCTGCAGACAGCCAGTCGATTAGAGCTGTAGCGTTTTGAAGAGTCCCGCATGGCAGGCCGTGATGTTGTGGAAAATAGGCGAATGAGCGCAGCGGCATGTGTGTGGGTATGAATGAAGGACTGGGGTTTTGAGAAGTGTGCTTTGTGTGACGCATGATTGAGTCTGTGGTGGGCCGTATGAGACGACAGCCGTTTTCAGTGTTTTAGTTTGTTTTGTTGAAAGTGCAAATCATCAGTGATGGATGGCAAAAGATTGGAGTAAAGTGAGAGTGAAGCGGTCTGCAGTACCTGCTCATGCTGCAGCGTCCCTCTATGGCTGTTGACTATATTGGTGGTGGGCTTTCAGCCGGAGTTGTGGAGAAAGGCTGTTAAATGCAAACGAGAGGAATAAATGAAGTGTAAGAAGAGCCGTGTGATTAACGAGGCTGTTGGGGGGGGGTGGGGGTGGTGGTTGTGTTTGCGCATCTGCACGCAGAGAGTGTAAAACAAGCAGTGCGGTTTGAGGCATCTGTTGCGGTTGTCAGCGTGGGGTTTGCTGGTAGCGGTGCGGTGGCCTCATTTTGTCAGCAGGCTGGAGTAGGCAAAAGTGTGGCACAGAAATGCAGGCAGCGTCAAGCTTGAGCAGTGCTTTAGTCCTTTGCTGAAGAAGTGTTTGGGGGCTGCTTGAGAGAAATGTGACACTGACATAGTGTAGTGTAATTGACGTATTGATTAGTTTGGTGTATTAATTGTAAATGTATCGGTGAAATGATAATGCCATCAGCAACAAAGTCTCTTTTCAGGGCAACAAGTATAAAAGAGGAGTTTTGAGTGAAAAAGTACTGTTGAAGTGCATGTATGTCTGTCTGTAAAGATTTGATGAGGTGTTGTTGCTGTAGATGTAAGCGGTGTGTTTGTGTGATTGCAGTGGTGGAGCGTGGAGAGCGGAGAAGCCCTGCAGACCTTCTACACGATGGGAGGCAATCTGAAGAAGATCCACGTGTCTCCTGACTTCAGCACCTTCATCACTGTGGACAGCATCGGCATCCTTTACATTTTAAAGAGACTTGAGGGAGAGGGAACATGACCCAGGACGGGGTGAAAGGCTTGTTGAGCAAGCAACTGTGACTTCAAATGAGGAAATGCAATGCTGGCAGCAATCTGTGCTGAAATGTGAGATGTGTGCGTGTGCGTGTGCGTGTGCGTGTTTGTGTGTGTGTTTGTGTGCGTGTCTGTGTGCGTGTCTGTGTGTGTGTAATTGTATGTTTGGTTTATTTTTAAATGTGGGTGAAATGTTTGGTGCCAATATGTAGACTTTTGCTTTAACAGCTCAGACAACATGCCTCATATAGGACAAAGTATTGTCCGAGGGATTTTGAGCGCACACGGTGGTGTTTGCTGTGGGCCAGTACTTTTGAAGAAAAGCTTTAATGTGCATGTAACCGCAGAGCCCTGTCAATGAGTTGATTTGTGATGGGTGCTTTTAAAGTATGTTTGTGATGCCTGATTCCATGAGGAAGTGTGTGTGTGCGTGTACATGAGTTTGTTTGTATGAAATGTAAAGAAAATGATCAACACTGCATTGGTGAAATGTGTCATGACTTGTGACTGTAAATGTGAAATGATGATGATTGAAAAAAAAAAAAAAAGTGTACGTGAAAGTCCATGCAGGTACACCTCTGCATTTGTGGAGCTTGATCTGTCATTGCTGTAGCACCTGTGTGTGCACGTGCGCTCATGTGATATTTGCTAAATACAAGACGTGTATTTAAAGAGTTGTAGTGTCAATCTTTTTCCTAAAATGTGTTTGAATGTTTGCGTTTAAAGGAAAAGCGCATGGAGTAGGATCACCTGATGACCAAGGTAAGTAGCGCTGAAATGTGATTTTGCTGTGTATTGGGTGCGCGCGCGTGCACTTTTGGGCTAGAGTGATGCGGGGCAGTGCTGAGGCAGCAGTGTCGCGCTCTGAGCTTTAGTGACTGGGTAGTTGGCAGAGGAGAAGAGATGCTGTACTGTGTGTAGATGTGGTTGTCAAGCAGAGCAGGGTGAGCTGGTGTGGTGCTGAGGAGAGGAAGTGGTGCTGTTGCAGTGTTTGTGCGTGCAGGTCAGAAGCTGTACTGTATTTTGCAGAGTGTAGTTGTGGGACAGGAGTTGGAGTTTGATAGCTGGTGTAGTTGTGTGGATTTAGCAGGTGTTTTTGTGACTGAAGGACTTGTAGAGGATTGAAGTAGGCTGAATGGTGCTTTCTCCATGTGTGGTGCAGTGTTTGAGGTACATGCAGGCACTTAGTGGAAAGGATCTGTGAATGAGTGTTAGATGCTTTGTGCAGTGTGAAGGTGATGTTGAGTGCAGTATAGTGGCATGCTAGATGAAGAGAGCAGGTCAAGATTGTGATAGTTGTTGGGCAGGACTTGTGGCTAAGCAGTTGCAGTTGTGTTTTTGCAAATGGTTAACCCTGAGCTTCCATAGATGCTGCTGTGGAAGTGACGGGTGAGCATTTTGTGCCATTTGTAATGCACTGTTGTGTAGGGCAGGAAGGTTAGCAAGCGTAGATGTTTGGTCAGAGCAGGCTTAGAATAGAGTCGTTACTTGCGTCCAGTATCCAAAAAGAAGGCCTAATGACTGCTTTTCAAGCAAGAACAGTGGTTAGCCTTTTTTTTTGGTGTGGAAGCGAGTAACGACTTATATATATATATTTATTAAACAAGGAAGAGAGGGGGAAAATTCGCACTAAGTATAAATACTTAGCAAAAATACAGTTGCGGTCACTCTTTCATTTAACTTTTTCAACCTCAATAAAAGCAAACAGGACATGCTTTGTACTTGTCTTTATTTCACAACATGGTCTCACAACACAGTCAATGAACAACACTAACATCTGCTTATACTTGAGCATCACATCATTTCTATTAACTGACTCACCCATACCCTCAACGCCTATTACAAGCTTTCAGACATAAAGAAACTATGATGATGCCTCAAATAAAACGGCTCATCTTACATCAAACGCTTGAACTGATTAGTTCAATGCCATCATACTACATATGGACACATACACTACTAGCACTTACAAGCTTTGCTCACATTGATGCCACATGACCTCTTCAGATGTCCACCTTGGATGGCCTGACAGCTGCTTGACTGCACCAAGCTGAAATTCAAAGCAAATTGCGATCACTACATGTTCATACACTGACTGATTATGACAGAAGCATACAAATAAATGCATTCAAGACATACCTACTGTCCCTCACAACAGCACTGCTGCACCATCCTGCTTCAGGGTTGCTGCCTTCATGCCACCTGTAGACTAACCAAACAGCCATTAAACACTTTCCAATAAGCCTTCACTGCTTCCGGTTTACATGGGTTACATCTGAACCATGATTCATGCTACATAAACCAAATGCCTGCATTTCACCATACACCCCTGCCACATCCACTGTCTCAATTCATATCACAAGTACATCATCTACACAGCAGCAGCAGCAACACTGCTCTGGAAAAACATTGAAGGAGTTCTGCCCTGACACACACATAAGGCCCTACTCAAGTCATTGCAGACAAGCCATTGTTACATCATCTTCGCTCATTTGCTGACACCACTCAAGCTCGCCTTTGATGCCATGTTTTGGAGCCCTTTTGCACGTGATGATTTCAACCTACTACTTTTCTCTTTCACAATGTACTGACTCACCACATCAACCCCCCTTCACATTTCTTTATTTCATTGTATGTATGTATGTATGTATGTATGTATGTATATATGTATATGTGTGTATGTATATATATATATATATATATATATATATATATATATATATATATATATATATATATATATATAGAGAGAGAGAGAGAGAGAGAGAGAGAGAGAGAGAGAGAAATGGTTAATGTTAATTTGTGTATCTTATTTCAATTATTTACACTTTACTATTATTATTATTATTATTATTATTATTATTATATTTATCAAATGTTTTGTTTTTTTGTGTGTCATTATATCTTATCTGTATTACTATTCATTTTTCTAGGGTTTTCATATATTTCATATTTGAAATGCTTTGGCAATACTGTACTTAATGTCATGCCAAAATGGATATCCAACTGACAAATCTGTGCAATCGCATCATGTCCACTTGGAAAATCAATACATTTACACATTACATTATCACTGGTGCTGGAGAAGCAGCTTGTGTGTGTGTGAGACACTTCCACCATCTCTAACTCACACACTAATCTGGCCCTGCTCCACCTGACCACACCACCAAGCAATAAAATACACCCCAGTGGTGAGAGCAGCTGACAGGAAATGCTTTCATGCCAAGATACAGCGAGTGAGTGTGTAACAGAAAGAGAGAGACTGACAAAAGCATGCGCGCACAGTGGATGCCAAAGCTACAGGTCAGTGTGCCGTTGCTCTCTCCTGTCACATCCTTCTCAGTGTGGCGGTGTATGTCGCTTCAGGGGATGTTCACAACCTTTTGGACAGCATCCTGCTCCTCACGCTAAACAGAGGAGAAACATCTCATCACTTACAAACCACAACACAACACTGCCACTTCTGCAACACAAACATCTGCAGACAAATCATCTTCAAATCATCTCTTCTGTTTTGGGACCGGGACAGCCCACCAAACTTTACTTTCTGGATGATGTCACGTTACGTCACACTCACAACAACTACACTCAACTACTCTCAACAACACTGCTCAGATCAGCGAAATTACGCCTCAGAACCTTTCACACCCACATAAACAATCCATTCATCTTTACTGCCTCCACTACACCCCGACATCTCTTATCCTCTCATACAACAGGCCAAATTCAACATTTTTCAGCACAATCATTAGGCATCAACTCTGGCTACAGCTTCAACCTTTCTTTTCATTCATGCTGTGGAAAAACCCATTTAGATGCCCTACTTACAAATCAATACAAATATAAATATAAACATACATACATACATACATACATACATACATACAAAAATATACAGTCAAAACACTTCTATTCTTTGCTTTTCCATTATATAATTTTACTCAAAACTCCACGAGCCAGGGAGTGACACACATGAAACCTTTCACTTCCTGAGCACTGGCACATCCCACATCCATACAAATACTACAGACAGAGTCTCAACCACTGTGCCTTTGTGGAATCCATTCAAGCCAAACAAACTCTTCTATTGCTAAACTTGTGTGCGCACACATTCTTTCACCTGCAGTACCTACCGCATTTACACTATATCACTTCTTTAGCTGCCTCCAACTATAAACTCTGCCCACTCCTAAAACACACACACACACACACACACACACACACACACACACACACACATAATAAAACAAACACAACTCTGCTATAACTACACTTCTTTCACCTATATTTTTGTCACTGTAACAAACTCTCGTAAGCTCTTGACCATTCATGTGGACTTCGTGAAGATGCTATTTGACTGCAGAACAGTCGACACATCTCAATAAACAATTGTGCTTAGAACAACTCTCCTGGACTGGCTTCTTCAACTTACAACAATCCTCACACCTCACACTCATCTCATACTCGCATTAATGCTTACAATACTTCCTCTCAGACGCATAACGCAAGCCTTTGTGTCCGCTTTTGTCTCACTGTGTCATCTGGACACAAAATTATTCACTGGGAACTGCACAAACTAACAGGGGAGCACCATGTACCATAGTTAAAGCTTCTCAAAAGGGGGGAGGGGGGGCCTTTGCCAAGAGTCCATTCCATTCATCAATCTTACAATAACTCCAATTACAGCATAACAATTTCCAACTAATTCTTCACATACCACAACCCCAAATCACAAACAGTTAGGAAAACACAAACATTTCACACTTCTATTTCATTACAGACTCTGTCCAATCAACTTCATTTCATTTGTAAATACGCATCCTGTTTCTGTCATTCAGACACAAATTAAAAAAAAAAAACTTGCGCCTAAAGCAATTTAGGCCTACTAATCAGGCACGCTGCTTCAATAATGATGTGATCTCAAACAGGAGATTGTAAGTATGATCTGCTACAAAACCAGCATCCAAGGAAGGTCTAGCCCTTAAGGAGCAAAGATGGCCCAAGGATCGCCATTTTGCCAACAAATACATGAGAACAATCTCTTCCTCAGGTGCCACTGCATCAACCATCCTCATTCATCTATAAGCCACATCACCACATGGCCTCAGGACTACTTTCACAAACATTCGCCAAGTACCACAACACAAACTTACATCCACAAATGCTCCTCAATACTGTACTGTAGGAAGCCCGGTCGTATCACTGTCAACAAGCTCCATCCACTTCTCTGGACTCTAAAGCATCTGGGATGGACCATCACACAGAACAAACAAGCGCTGTGCTCACAGATCAATCACTTTTACACCTATTCTGAGGGGCAGTACATTCAAGTACATACACATTTTGGAGCACAATATGCTGCCTTCTTTTCCAGGGATGCCTATCAATGTTTCAACAAGACAATGCAAAACCACATTCTGCACACCTTACAAAGTCCTGCCTGCGAAGGAACAGGATACAGCTACTTGACTGGCCTGCCTGCCACAGTCCCAACCCGTCTCCAATAGAGAATGCACAATTTCAACTGCAAAATGTCACAATCAACAGCCCTTACTGCTGCTCACCTTAACACCTGTTTGCAGGAACAATGGGTCAAAATTACACCTCAAACTATTCACCACTTGCTGTCTTCAGTCCCTAAAAGTCTTTTAAGTGTTGTGAAGAGGAATGGCAACATTACAAAATAGTAAATGCTTTACTGTTCCAACTTTTTGTCAAATGTGTTGCCAGAAACAAAATTGCACTACATATTTACAAAAAACTACAACAACAACAACAACAACAACAAAAACCACAATGAACACAATAAATGATGCGCCACTGTGTTGTCTGCAATGAAATGCAAGTAAAAGTACATCTACAAATCTATTTTTTCTTATTGCTCTTAATGCCTTATAGCCTTAATGTTCTTATTGCCATAATGGCCCAACTCTTCCTCATTTCCGCGTGTACTTGCAATATGGCCTTTTTTTACACCCTCACCGTTTCTACCACTGCACAGGTGTTGATGGCACCCACATACAAGTACACCATCACAACTCCCATAACATCAACACCGTCACTCCTCATCTACTCATATTTAGGCTTAATCATGACTCTACATGACGGTGGACATCAGAAAGCCCATTTTTAACACTGCATTCCCACAGCGTCGTCTCGTGCTGTGCGACAAGGCGTTCGCCATTCACCTGCTCTCTTCTGCACTTGCCCACGCGAGTCCATCATCAAAGGCCTCTCCACGCTCCGGGCTGCCACCCTCAGCTGTCTTTGTCCTTTAACACAAAAACAAGCTGAGTCAGGAAAATCAAGAGTTTTCACCACTGACCCACGAGTGCCTCCCGGTGCAATGTGGCCTGACAGATAAACCTTGCAGACGTGGCCTAAATTCATCTCCCTTTTATGCTGTTAGAGACAATCTGCATGTCATTTACCTACTTTCTGCTCCTGTTACAGGCATGTACTTCACTTTTAAATGGAGTCTCACCTAAATGCTCCTGCAACCTAAAGTGCTCAAAGGCTCCTTCAGCTTTTCTTTGCTCGGACCCCTCTTCAATCGCATCTGGCTTCCTTGATGGATGAACGCGCCTTTTCGGCAGGTGTAATTCCTCCCGTCACCGACTGCAGAGAAGGTCAACTTCCGAATGGGCTCATGGCCAGTGTTGCCATGGCAGCCCGGTTTAGGATGCTGGGCTTCCTCCCAAAATGCCCTTTCCTCTCACCTCTGACAGAGATATCCGGGTACGCCGTTAGTTTGACCCTGCAAAAACAACACTTGTTACTGCATCCCCATGTTCGGCCAATGTCTCTCTTTTCAAAGGTAATAACAGAGTACAGGGAATAGCTTCAAATACACAACAACAATTATGCCAACAATTTCCGCTCCTCACAGACACTGACGGCCTTTCAGAGGATATGGACGTGAAAATAATTCACCGTGCTGGACTGACTATTACACCATTGGACTGACTATTACCACCGTTCTGTCTTTATTTAGCTTCCATTTTCACCTGTTCGCTTCCATCAACAATGTCCCTGGAGAAAAGACTAATCACAGCCTTCCTCAAACATCAACATTTTATATTTACTCCTTCTTAGATACTCTTTGCATCATGGTTAGTTGCTCAATTACAACATTTCTGCTGGCGTTATACACTAGATCATTATTAAAGCCTTTGACAGGCATCGGAACTGCCTGGTTAAGTTTTTTGTTAATCTTATTATTATTATTATTATTATTATAAGACATTTCAAAAACTATTCACGTTTGCTAACTGTGGAGTCAGGAACTCGGTTTAAAGAGGTCATTCACCCCAAATTAAACCATCTTTATCATTTCTAAAGCTGCGATCACACTGCACTTTTCTCCCCACGCAAATGCTTATCTTCATATTGTGTAATCCTGCCCCTTTTCCCAGTGCCGCACAACACAATTTAGCACGCGCAAACTCTGTAAGAGCTCTCTCACCCTCCATAAACAGCAAGGACCCCGCTTTATTTCATGTCAAGAAAAAGATCACAACAGTCCGTATGCCAAAATTGCGTTCATCACAATATTAACATGCGACAATATTTTTCTCCACATGAAAAAAAAAAAAAATCTATAAATAACTTCTTCTATTTGAAACAAGACGTAACCAAGACAATGCATCAGCCGTGTGACCAAACACAACGTACACTGCAGTCTGAGAGGAAAGTGTGCTGGCGCTGGGGTGCTACCTTTTTAAATGGTACAAACTTGTGCCTAAAGGGTCCCTATTAATCCCACAAGGGTCCATATTACTACCAAAAACTACAAACGTGTTCCTCTTACAATTTTGCCTACTACTATATACTTTTCAAGTACTAATATGGACCCTTTGAGTACGAATGTGTACCTTTTGAAAAAGTGTACCTAGTGACAGCTCGCGTACCTCTATTTCACGGAAAACTGTTCAATAAAGTTCTTCTTTTTCTTACACGGCGCCACTAATCGATCCTTGTACCTTCATTATATTCTGATTGAACCACTACGTATAGTCTGTTGTGACAGTATTTTTGCCTCAACTTTGAATAAATCTGGAAACATTGCTGTCTCTGGAGACTGAGAGAGCTCTGATTTCATCCAAATTAACCAAAGAAATATCTCATGTTTCCCCCTTACACTGCAACTTAAAGGGTTACTATGGAGTCAGCAGTCTGTATTTAACATTAGTTGGCTCTAACCTTGGTCACAGCTCAATACTGCAGTTTGACATACCTGTTCAAGATTGTGATAAAGGCCGGTCGCTTCATTGCCAGCTTCAGCGCTACTCAATTACAGATCCGGCCAAATGTCAGGCTTCATCTGGAGCATCTTCACACCTCAACAGAGTAATAGCGTAAAACACATTGTGTTCAGATAAAGCATTCAAATGGCACACGCCTCACATGTTTGTCATTAGATGTGTACATGTCATTCCTTCCCGTATTACATTTACCGTCTTTACTTTTGCACACTTCGCTTCTTTATGCAGCACCTGCACCATCAAGTCATCAAGGAAATCACACTACAAAACAGCAAATCATTTGCAACCGATTAATGCCTATTTCTTCTCGTGTGGACCACTTTTCCTTGCATTGGTATTTTGGCCACTACATCACGTTCAGTCAAGACATTTGACGCACGTCTCCTACAGCGAATAAACAAACAAAACAATTCGCTGAGTAATAAGCATTGCCAACAACTTCATCTGCACAACTTTAAAGCCTTTTTTTTTCCAGCCGTCAGATTACAGATGTCAATGGAGTGCGTATTTCTTGATTTTAACAAAATGAAACCTCTATGTATGACTGCTTTTCACATCCAGGGTCACATGTTATATTGCTTATTCTGGTCAACTTATTTGCACAGGAAAACCTCAATGACAATTTCTACACTGCTGACATGTCAAAATTAACACACCCATTAATAGAAAATAATCAAAACATCTACTCACGTTCGCTTTGGAGGTTTGAATAAAGCTGTCCCACAAAACAAATGGTAAACAGACTTCACAGAAATCATGCATCCAAAAAACATCCGTTATTCAAGAAGGAACCAACATTTTCCATTCCATCTTTAATGATTCTACTTTACTTCTAGGCCCTTTTATACAACGCAGAAATGCTTGCTTCGCTACACTTAAGTATTATTAGCCATACACCACATACTTTTAACAATCTGCAAGTTTAAATGGTTGCACAAATTGCCCCATAATTTATTTTAGCTAAATGCTATGCTATCCTCTCGTTAAATCCAGCAATCATTGATCTCAGGAAAGAACGTAACAATCTTATTCTGACCCTCAAGACAGAATAAATAAAGCACACCCAAACAGCCAGAAGAACACAAATTATACTTGAAAACAAGGGTTGTTTTGGGGATGCAGAAAGATGACTGTCAATAGTGCTTTCATCTAAACCAGTGGTCACCAACCTTGTTCCTGTAGGGTCGGTGTCCGGCAGATTTTATCTCCAACCCTAATCAAACACACCTGAACAAGCTAATCAAGGTCTTACAAGGTATACTTCAAACATCCAGGCAGGTGTGTCGAGTCAAGATGGAGCTAAACCCTGCAGGGACACCGGCCCTCCAGGACCAGGATTGGTGACCCCTGATCTAAACTGATCCCAATCCTCAATATTTGCTTATATTGTTAGGTAGGCTCGCTTTCTTCTTTCCTTTGGAGCTGATGAACCCGAGACGAACGCTGTTTTCGTTCCACACACTTTGATTTTGGGTCTTCCTAAAGCCCTGGCCCGATTCTGCCACATTCTCAACTTGCTTATCTTTCTTCTTCAACAAGACTGAACTGGCTCAATGATCCTTTATTTTGATATCGCTGCTCAATTCTATCTGGCACATTCTGTAAGTGTTAATTAATTGATCTGTAAGATAATTACATAAATGCTTATCCCCTGATGCTTCGTTTAGTCAAAGGCTTCGGGATACGCGCCATCTGGGACGTACGACTACAGTTTTCTCATTATCTCGCTGTCTCGCTTTTTGTCTTTGCCGTGACAACTACATGATCAATTGGAAAGTCAAGGATATCTGTCATTGCGGGAGTCTCACCTCACAGATGCAGGCAGATCATTTACCTGACGTGAAAGGACATTTGATGTTTTACACTCTGCCGTGTAAAATAAAATGCCTATAAATGTACACTTAATGTATTTCTCACACAAACTCTTCCCTTGTTTGACTTTCCTGTATAATTTACACTTTATAACAACTATAAAATCAAAATCATGCTTCAACATAACCATTAATTCTACTCTTCTGCCTCTTCCATTTGGGTCACAACATTCCTGTTTTAACAACAATAACAGATCACAAAGCATCTGTGTCTTCATACTGATTGTCTTTTCCCAACCTGGAACTGCAACATATCCGAGTGGTGTTGAAGAGGCTACATGGAGAGAAAGATACTGTACCAGCTCCATGGAAACTGAGTGCACGAGAAGTGAACCGTATGTCACCCCGCCTGAGGGAGAGATTATCCTGAAACACACACACACTCACATCCTTATCGCAACACATCTTTAACACAATCTTTGTCTTTACCCAATTGTAATTCATACCAGCTTCCCGGAGGCCGCTAATAAGTAGGCACACAATACAAACAATCATTACATATACAGAGGAGATCAAAATTGCGTAACTTACTGTTTCCCAAATGTCCAGATGCCTTCTTAGTGCTATTTGAAGTTGTCCTAACAGAACAAGTTTTCGAGTCATATATCACAACTTAAATATAATGCAAAGAACATCAGAAAACACTTGGTTACACTTTAGTTCAAGTATCAATTCTTGCTATTGACAACTGGATTCATATCTGCCTTATATTAGGATATTGGCTGGTTATTTACTTGTAAAGTGCACTTTATGCATGATCTTATTCTACATCCCCCAATTCACTCAATGCGTACACCAGCCAACTACCTAACAAATATTCAAATGCAGCAAATTAGGACTTTATTGAGACAAAAGTCATAGTTTAGGCTTTGTTAATAGCAAGAATGGTACCTCCAAATAAAGTGACCAACAACTTATGAGGTAGATCTAAAAGAGCACAGATGAAACAGGCAGCTAAACTTGACAGTTTTCACTGACTTTGCCAGATTTTCAACTGTGTGGGAAACCACATCAACACCATAGGGATGAATGTTTTGGCCACAGCAGAAGAAATCTTCTTTTTTAATGTCAGTCGTTCAAGGCTCCTCAAAAATGTTGATCCTCCATGAAAGACATATGACACTTGGATTTACTTGGGCCTGAAGGGAAACATCGTCACAGAACAACAGACACAGCAGTTCCTCGAAGATGGACCTTTTTCACATTACCACATTTCACAGCAGCGCAAGTCGTCATAGCTGATTAAACTTAGAGAGCAGTGAATGTGAATTTGACAAATGCTTTTTTTGTATTCCTATCTACTTACATCATAAAAAAAACACCACAACACAAAAAAAAGTGTGACACTTCCAGTGTAAGACTGAGAATGGCTGCTGAAAGAGAGCATAATGTCAATTTTACTGTCTCGCCCATAGACGCTGCATTAGAAAGACCTCACAGAAGCATTAACTATTTTTTTTACAATTTCATGAAAATGTGATATAATAAAAAGTAGAACTTTATAAATGTACTACGGTTCTTAAAAAATATCTCTTTATTTGAAACTTTTAAGGATTTAAGATGCTGACGATTGTTCAATGCGTCATCACCACCTCGTGAAAAACATCCATGAAATGGCCACCCCAAAGCCCAGACTTAAACCTGATTGAATATCTACATTCACACTGAAAGCAGCGAGTGTCAAAGTAAACGGAAGTCATTCTTTTTCAATGGGAGCCGGCAGCAATAAGCGGCACAGGGCGTCTTTGCCAGTGTGGGCATCGGGGAAAGTTAAAATCAAGTCTTCAAATCAACTTTTTATTAACGATTGAATATCTACATTCACACTGAAAGCAGCGAGTGTCAAAGTAAACGGAAGTCATTCTTTTTCAATGGGAGCCGGCAGCAATAAGCGGCACAGGGCGTCTTTGCCAGTGTGGGCATCGGGGAAAGTTAAAATCAAGTCTTCAAATCAACTTTTTATTAACGAGCTATGACACGGTTTGGCCGCAAGCAATCAGAGGGTTGATGTCCACAGCTTCAGAGGATTTCATAGAACACACTCCTGTGAACTTTGGTTCCAGCCACAGTTGCTCCCAAGGGTTTGATTATTGTATATATATATATATATATATATATATATATATATATATATATATATATATATATACACATACATACATACATACATATCCTCTTTATTTTTTTTCCGCCAATTCTGTTTAACGGACAGAAGATTTATTCAACACATTTCTAAACATAATACTTTTAATAACTCATCTCTAATAACTGATTTATTTTATCTTTGTCATGATGACATTAAATAATATTTTACTACATTTTTTCTAAAATTTCTTTTTTATATTTTTAAAAAAATTAAAAAACGCTTCTTCGGCTTTTATTCTAGCCGAAATAAAACAAATAAGACTTTCTTCAGAAGAAAAAATATTATCAGACATACTGTAAAAATATCCTTGCTCAGTTAACCATAATTTGCACAAATATTTAAAAGTTTTTTTGTATAATTCTGACTGTATGTATGTATGTATGTATGTATGTATGTATGTGTGAGTGTGTATATTTATATATATATATATATATATATATATATATATATATATATATATATATATATATATATATATATATATATATATATGTATGTATGTATGTATGTATATGTGCATATATATATCTCACCGGTTGAGCTGTGAACACAGACAGCGTGGTCGCCAGGGTAGGCAATGGCCTGAGCCAACTTTGACGCTCTCGCTACCTTCAGTGTGAACACACAGTTAAAAACTCACTAGAACTAATCTGAGAAAAGCATATCGAAAGCACAGCAGAGCAGTGAGACAGACCAATGATGTGCTGGGCCTGCATTTCTTTCTTTTTGTGTTTTCAACAAACTAATGCTTTTGTTAAAAATTACATTTTGTCTTAAAAAGCAAGTGTTCATAATCTCTTCTCTAATTTCCACCCCCACTGTGAATAAAAAAAGTAACAAAACAACAAACAAGACATAAAGACAGATACAGTACATAGATAAATAGACAGATACAGTAGATAGATAAATAGACAGAACTGTAAGTCTTCTTGTTGAAAAACACGCATACCAAAATCCAGAGGGTTTAACTAATATATATAACCACACCGCTAATACTGCAGCTGAATAATAAGAAGGGAAGGAAGAAAGAAAGAAAGAGCGGTCACAGAAAGGACAATGGTTCTACAATCTGGATTTATTCCGTGTGCTTTGCAAGAATATAAATAAAAGACCAAACTTACAAAATCTGTGTGCTGGAAGCCCAAGCCTATCTACACATATGTTAGTCCGCAATGATGTCACAAATCCACCCGTTGCTCATACCAATGTTTTCTTTGATCTGCCAAATTTGGTACCTTGTTTACCAATTTCATTTCTTGGATTTTCTTTTTTTTTGTTATTCTTTAGACACGTTGTTGTTGTTGTTGTTTTTTTAATTACATATATGAACAATGAGTCAACAAAATATTTATTTACAGAACTGTGGCAAAACTCTACAGTGACAATGAGTGAAAATAAGACATCTGTTTTCATATTTCATTGGAGCCATCCGCACATTCAGTTCCTCCGTAGTACTAGAATAATCTTTTTTCTTTGTTTGTTTTATCGGATGGCTGCGCATTCAAGCTCGACGCATCATATAAAAATAATGTAACATTAAGACAACATCAGACGAGAATTGCACAATAAGAATAATTAATTATAATAATTGTAAATATTACAGTAAAGGTAATATATTTTTCTATTAAACATTAAAATTTCTTGCCAATATGAATATTAATCTGCATGGCGTCAACAAACGTAGTGATTTTGGCACGAGACGCGTCCATTTCATGGTTGTCCAGTGCAATGAGTCCATTCACATTTGTGCATATTCATATATTTTTTTAGATCTTTAACCACAAACAAACCAAGAAAATAAAGAAAGAAGGAAAGAAAGAAAGAAAGAAAGAAGAAAGTAAACGGAAAACAAAACAAAAAAAAAAATACAGAAATTGATGTAAATGTCCATTTTAAACCCAGTCCAGACATGCCATGGTAATTTGGACTAGATATTTAGTGAAAAGTCTGTGTAGTGTGTCCTTGTCGCAGAGGAATTCGCCTTTCGTGCGACAAAGTCCAATATCTTCCGCCGTCCTTCGGAAACAAAAGTCAACTCGCTGCCCTGCGTGTACATTCAAATCCACAGGCTCCTCCTATTGATTTTTTGTTTTCTTTAATATGAAGTGTATGTATGTGTGTGTTTGTGTGTGTGTGTGTGTGTGTGTGTGTGTGTGTGTGTGTGTGTGTGTGTGTGTGTGTGTGCGCGCATGCGAGTGTTTCGTTAAAAGGCCACGGGTCCATATATCGGCAGTCCTTGTACGCGTACGCCAAGTCCCAGTCCAAAAAGTCCTCGTGCGAATCCTTACACATGCGCTCCGGTGACGCTTTTAGCTTCCGTATTTTGCGGTCCTTTTTTGCAATGCATGTGAGAGTGAGGGTCCATGTTAGGGGCAGGCTACATTCTCTGAATTCCACTGTAATAGACATGGGCGTCCGCCATTGCCCTGTGAATGAAATCACATCACTTATCCAGAGTGTCCATCAAAAAAAAAAAAAGCCCCCCCTTCTCCAGGTCACATGGACTGCATGCTTTCCATCAACTACACTGCATGTCTCAGGACAGGCTCGGTTTTCATTCACTGGCAAAATCAAAAAAGGGAGAGAAGGAAAGAAAATACAACGGAAAAGAAGAAAAACGCGCGATTCGAGAGACCATCGTTTTGCGAATGTCTCGTCGTAAAGTAAGCCTTCGTTAAAAGCTAAACGTCTGCGTCCACAAATACTTTTAAGTTCCGACTAAAACAAGCTCATAACTTGTGTTCTGTTTAAAAAAAAAAGAAAATACAACAACAAAAATCTTCCCTAAATGAGAGAAGGTTTCAATTTTTTTTTTAGCTGATACTAAAAATGAACTATAAAACAAGCAAAATGTCCTTCGGATGAAGTCCAATCTCCGCTTCTATGCCAGCCGTTTCAGATGCCCCACAACCCTCACAAAAATCTCTGGGTGAGCGATCGCCTCTCTATAACCCTACGCTGTCTAGTCAGAAAGAAAGAAAGATAGAAAGACTAAAAAAACAATGTGTGTTTATAAGGCTTGTAGCAGCATTACGGTTTAAGTGGTCATTCAAGCAGTCGAGGGGGGGGGAGGCTGGAGAGGTGCTTTCCGGAAAAGCCGAGGAAAGAATAGCGAGGAACGGAGGGAAGGAGAAATCAAAAGAGGACTGAGGGGAGGGAAAACTGAATGAAAAACAAGCGCTTTTTGACTGTGTGTTTGTGTTTTGAAGGAGGATCGGCAGCGTGGCGGCCCTGAGGGCTCAGCGGGACAGTCCCGTATCGAGCTGCGGCCAGGGTGAGGAGGGCGAGAGAGAGAGATAGAGAGAGAGAAAAGAAAGAGAGAGAGAGGGGGGCAAACGTTTGAAGGAGAGAAAAGACAGCGGCAGCGTCATCATGCAGAAGCCACGGTAAACGGGCGGCTTGGCCGGGCGGAGAGACGCGGGCTTGGCACAGGTCACTGGGCCCGTGGCTCCGTGGGCCTCTAGAGGGCTCTCTGTAAGGCACACACACAGGAGTGGACAGTATTTTGGGTGTATATTAGAAAATAGTGGTCTCATACTTGGTGTTGGCTCCTCTTTTGGCTTCCTGTCCAGGCTCGACTATCCAGGGGACGTTAGCGTGGCCCTTTTGATCCATTGAGGGCTGTTCCATCTGCACACAGGACAAAAAGGCAACTGCTCAGGATGTGCTAGAAAATTACTTCAGATAGGGTCGGTTAGGCTACACCAGAGGTGTCCAAACTCTGTCCTGGAAGGACGGTGTCCTGCAAAATTTACTTCCGACTTGCCACAACATACCTGCATGGGTGTTCCAAGAAAGCCTAGTAAAAGCTTGAGTAGCTAGCCCAGGTGTGTCTGATTGGGTTGGAATTAATCTTTGCAGGACACCGGCTCTCCGGAACCGAGTTTGGCCACCCCTGGGCTAGACCCTATAATGACCTCTTAGCGAAAAGACGTTTGACCAAAGCAGAATAAATGTGCCAAACTTTATCCAGACTAACCGTTACATTTGAAATTTATTTTAAAAATATACAAATAAACAAATTACACACGCACGCAAACACACACAAAAACACACACACACACATACAATTTAATGCTGTAAATGTTAAATGTTACATTTTTTTTTATTTATTTTCATTTCATTGAATAATAATACATGTATTTATTCTCAAATAAATTTATTTATCATTTATTTATAAATTTATTTATATTTATTTATACATTTATTAATAATCATAGTAATAAAGCTATAGAGATTTTTTTCTATTTTAATGAAAAATAAAATAAACATTTTCTATACTGTAGTAATAACAGCGCTAAAGTAACAAATAACATCAACAACAATAATAATAATAATATTAATAACAACTATAATAACGGGCTTCACAGCGGAACAATCACTTTACAGCAAAAAGGTCGCTGGTTTGAGCCTCGGCTAGGTCAGTTAGCATTTCTGTGTGGAGTTTGCATGTTCTCCCTGTGTTGGCATGGGTTTTCTCCGGGTGCTCCGGTTTCCCCCACAGTCCAAAGACATGCGGTACAGGTGAATTGGGTACGCTAAATTGTTCATAGTGTATGTGTGTAAATGAGTGTGCATGGGTGTTTCCCAGTGCTGGGTTGCATCTGGAAAGGCATGCACTGCGTAAAACATGTGCTGGATAAGTTGTGGCGGCCCCTGATTAATAAAGGGATTAAGCCGAAAAAAATAAATGTATGAATAATTGAATAATAATAATAATAATAACAAAAGCAAAATTAAATAATAACAAAATGTTTTATTATCATAATATTTTATCTACAGTATAATACAAAAAATTAACATTTTATAATAAGAATAATTATACCACTATTTTAAAGAGTTATAGTAAGAACAGCACCATTTCATATTTAAAATCTATAATTAAATACAGCAAATAAATATTCATATTTCTTCATCTTTTAAATCATTAAATCATTATCCATTTTATTCATCTTAATATTTGTATTGATATTATTGTTCTTATTTTATTAATATTAGTGTTATTTTACAACTTATTTATACAATATATTTTTTTCAGAAAACATTTCGTTTATGTAAAACAGAAGCCCTGGTGTATGACATCATATTCTGTTACTCATAAATGAAATCTGAAGTAATTAACAGGCTTAAGTCTAGTGTAACCACCTCTTCAGTCACACAGAGAAAGAGAGAGAGAGAGAGAGAGAGAGGGGGGGGGGGGGGGGAAAGAGAGAAAAAGAGAGAGAGACAGAGAAAGAGAAAAAGAGAAAGAAAGAGAGAGCGAGAGAGAGAAGCAATTGGTTCACCACATGACAATCAAAGTCACACCAACACAAAAACAGTCAAGTAACCTCCACATTGCATAATTCCTATTTATAAACGTGCAACATCAAACACATTCATCTGTTATATTAAGCATCGCTGCCGTAATATCCATCCTGCAGATCTGCTGTGGTCAAAACTACCCTGCGACTAGTACATCTTTATCCACCAATCCAAACGCTGCTCCTTGTTGCCACAGCAGCTCAGCTCAGCCCTGCTCCACATACAGCGGAGCTATAGATGGAGCAGAAACGTGAACGTGTGTTTTTACGTACGTCTGCTGCTGGCTTCTCTTCACTTCTTTATCAGCCTTTTCCATATGCAGCGGCATGAATATTAAATAACATAATCCTCGCTGCGCCTGGCCACCTCTGACTGCTCACACACACATGCACACACCCACACCAACTTCATTCTTCTCCACATCCAAACGCTTTAAAAGAGGAAACAAGACACTAATCTTACGCAATAAACCTCTAATGTGAGGCATCGACCTGAAAGAGAGCTTAATGGTTTGATAACGGTGAGTTGGTGTCTTGGATGAGAAATGCTCGAGTGCTTCTATCCGGGTTTACTCAGCTGATGTTGAAAGACGGAGAGATCATTGTGGGATGACAGGAAAGGAGGATTCAGATGAAGAAGAGATGAGTCAAGCAAACAAAACACTGAACAAACAAACAAAACTAACAAAGTCAGCTGAATTATCAAATTAAATCACAGAATATTTTGGGGTAAAGGTCTGTGGTGTTGTACAAAGCGCAGCGGTCATGCTTTGAAAATAAATCTCCATTCATTTTTGCCTTTAGGAAAAAGATTATAAACAATAACCCATCATTTCTTTATAGACAAACCTGTTCTGGTTTCCAATAGATTTTATATTCTACTGATAGCACAATTTGTGCACAAAAAACTACATTACCCATGATTCTGTACAGAAATGTCCACCAATCAGAGTGTTGCAGAAATACACCAACAAAATATCATTAGCTCTACCCAATCCCATGAAGCTACTACATGCAGTACACTCTCAAAATAAGTAAACGCTGCTCGTGTATACATTCTAAATATATACTGTTTCTGCTATACACATACACTACCTGACAAATGTCTTGTCACCGATCCAAGTTTTAGGAACAACAAATTATAACTTGACTTCTAGTTGATCATTTCAGAAAGGGCTTATATGAAAGGCAAATCCCTTATTTTACCATAGTAAAATATGATCATGTCTTGATTTTTAATTATTTCATTAGGACAGCAAGATCTGACTTTACTTAGACAAAAGTCTTGTCAATTAACAGAAATAATGTAAAGTATACTATTTAAAGACATGCTCTATAATGTTCATCTCTGCTGACCGGGCTGGCCAATCCTGGAGCACCTTGACCTTCTATGCTTTTAGCAATATTGACAAGTATGCGGAGGAGGGCTATCCTGCTGAAGAGTTTGCCCTCTCCTAAGGCTGTTGATGTTGCCATCCACTCTGCAGATGTCTTGCACGCCCCTATACTGAATGTAACCCCAAACCATGATTTTTCCTTCACCAAACTTGACTGACTTCTGTGAGAATCTTGGGTTCATGCGGGTTCTAATAGGTCTTCTGCAGTATTTGTGATGATTGGGATGCAGGTCAACGGAGGATTCATCTGAAAAATCTACCTTCTGCCACTTTTCCAAATGATCAACTTGAAGTCAATTCATTATCATGCATCATGGGATTGTAGTTCTTTCTGTTAAGTCAATCTTCTGTTTTTTTCTTTGTTTTTTGTTTTTCTGCTCTGATTTTCATACATTTCTTTGCTTCAAACCAACATTTGTCATGTGATTCTCCTGGTTGGATGGTTGGCTTACCAAAATCCCAATGGGAAAAAATGAAAGGAAAAATACTTTTAAGCCGTTGCTGCTTAAAAAAGAGTGTGCCAACACACTCATGAAAAAGATCACTACTCATATACTGTTTGGTAACTTTAAGTCTTTCAATTATCATTTTTATGGTATTTTTACATAATGTGGGATGACGTAAAAACATTCTGCAACCTTTTGTTTTACCTGACATTTTTCTGTCAAAAATGGAGCAAAAATAAAAATGTTAAAGAAAGATGACAAAACAAAACAAACAAATAAATAGGGCTGTCAACATGACGTTAACATAGTAAGGAATAATTGACTCCAGACCATTGCATTATTAGAAAATAGGGTGATAGTGATCCGACCACAACATTAAGCGGTGTGCATTATTTTTGAACAATTCAACGGACGATTGAAGTCGATTATTCCACTTACACTACAGTGACCACACTTACAGTAATGACATTGTCTAGATGTTGTCCTCAAACCACTGCTGTGCGTGGGGTGTGTTTCCTATTATTCTCATCCCAAGTCTTTTGTTCTGTTTAGTCTGTCAAGTAACTGAAACTTTTCAGTGTAGTGATACGGAACTGTAATACGGTCTAGATGTGCCTATCTTTGTGTGTATCTCAAAATAACCGCACTCCTTAGAATGTTCATCAGCCAATCAGAATCAAGCGATCAACAGCCTCGTAGTGTAAGAGTGATTAATACATTCAAATAGATGTAATTAATTCACTGACATAATAAATGACTGACAGCCCCAAAAATAAAACAGAATACAAGCGGGAAAAGAAACCAAGGAAAGGAAATGAAAGAAGACCTGCAATTGAACTTTGTGTGGATGATGGAGGAAGAGTCGTGAGGTAGGAGGAAGAGGAGAGGGATGGAGAGGAGGCCGGTGCGGGGTGAAAATATGCCCCAGGGACCAGCGGCTAGAGGGGGACGTGACCTAAAACAAAGAGGTCACAGAGGTCAAAGCTTGGGAAGTTGAGCACACACAAACACACGCAAGCACAAATGTACACAGTATGAGTGATCCTTTAATTAAATATTGTTTTCATTTAAACATGAAAGATCATCACAGCATGAATTTATTTACTTTAAAGTGTTACTTTTACTAATATTTTACATTTATTATAATTCTGCAATTTTACACCTGTCCTCAACTCTGACTTCACTTGACTTAATTATTAAATAAACCATGCATTTTTTAAAACATCCATACTATTTTCTACACAATTTTGTTTATTATAATCAGCATCTACATTTTGAACTTTTTACAGTTTAACTTTGAATATGTTTAACTCTAAATTTAGAAGCTCAATGCTACCTAATTAAGATTTTTTTCAATCGTTCTAAGAGCCTACTCACACTATGCCATTCGTACCGTGCCCAGGCCCGTTTCCTGGATCGTTTGAGAAGTGTGAGTGCGCTGAATCGGGCTCAAGCACGGTTCATTTGGCTGGCCCTGGCCCGTG